ATTTAAATCATAATTCCAAATCACTTATTCAATTACATGTTTTAAATCAGAATCAGAAGGTTAATCTATTTACTCTAATAGACCAATTTTTTTAAAAAAATAACCTAACATTTTACTGATGACTCAGATTATTTAACACAACATTATTACCATAAGTTTGATTCTTTTAATATATCTGCACTTAATTTTAAACCTTTGTAGGGTAAAGGATACTTATCTACTAAAGAAATTGTTTTGAGGATCCCATCCCAAGCAATCTGAGGGGTTGCTCATTCAGCTGTATTAAGTTTCTTAATACTGAGAAGGCCTCTGGCCTCTTGCCTGTCCCCATCCTGCCAATCAGAGCCTAATTTTATAGTAGCTCTGTCCATAACCACCAAATGGGAGACCTCAGAGCTCGCATACTCTAGTTTTAAATTATATCTCTCCAAATCTCCATCTCCTCAGAGTCTGCATCCCAACCATCTTGCTACCCCAACTAATTTGATTTAATTGATCTATTTATAAGCTTTATTCTATTCTCCTTTCTGTGAGGGGTCACAACTCCTAAAAATATTCCAGTGGAGAGAGATTCATACCTGGCTTTGTGTGACTCCCTGATAGATATGTCAGAAAACGTAAGTCCCAAATGGGACAGGTGGTTTTTACTTGCCGCTGACTCAATTCTGATTCAAGGCGGCCCTTTGTGTGCAGGGTAGAACTGCTCCAGAGAAGTTTTAGGGCTGGGAGCTTTCTGAAGCAGATCACCAGGTGTCTCTGGGTGGGTTCAAATTGTCAATCTTTTAGCCAGTAATTGAGAGCTAAACATATGTGCCACCCAGGGAGATTGCTTACCTGAAATTCAAATTTAAATGGGCATCCTGTATTTTATTTGCAAAATCTGGCAACTGTACTCTCTGTTGTTGTTGTTGTTATGTGCTATCGAGTCGGATCTGACTCACAGCGACCCTCCTTGAGTTTCCAAGGTGGTATCACTATGGAAGTAGATTGCCCAACCTTCCTTCTGAGGAGTGGCTAGTGGGTTTGAACAGCCAGCCTTTTGGTTAGCAGTCAAGTGCCTTAGGCACTATGCTAGCAGAGCCCCCTAACTATACTCTCTAGTCACCCTTTTGTTGGTCATACAAAAGATATAATTGATCTTATATTGCCTCTATAGTAGCCATAGTCTATGCCTGGATCTCTTTCTCTCAGACATGTGTCCAGGGTCAAAATCTCAGCCTCATCTCTGAGTGGGTACTCTCCCTTGCTATCATTTCAAAATTTTATGCTTCTAACAAATTTTTTCTTTTCTTTCAAATATGTATCTAAAATTCAGTAAATATTTATTCCCCCTACTTTTTAAAATAAAAGATTCCTTTATCCACAAAATGGAGCTCTGGTGGCATAGTGGTTAAAGCATTTGGCTGCTAACCAAAAAGGTCAGTGGGTCAAACCCACCAGCTGCTCTGTGGGAGAAAGATGTGGCAGTCTGCTTCTGTAAAATTTATAGCTTTGGAAACTCTATGGGGCAGTTCTACTCTGTCCTATAGGGTCGATATGAGTCAGACTTGACTTGATGGTAGGAAGTTTTGGGGTTTTCCCACAAAATAAAACAAACTGCACCCCAAAACCAAGGACAAACAACAGTTCCACTCTCCCCTATCAATAAATAAATCATTTTACTACTCGCCTTAGCACTTGACCCAGTTACTTTCTTGGTTTATGTCTAACTAGAATATAAACTCCTTGAGGGCAGAGGGCCATGTATACCTCCTTTGGCTCACTACTTTTTGATGCCAAGCTCCTAGCACAGTGCCTACACACAGGAGTGCACAAAGCCTACATGTTGAAGTAACAGAATGCATACAAATCCAGTAAGTAGAAGGGAAGAAAAGAGGAAAGTGACACTTAGTGGAAGGGGGAGGTTAGAGAAGGTGATGTATTTTAGGAGGAATGCCCAATATTTAGTTGCTATAATAATTCAACTGTACACACACACACACACACAGAGGCACTGCATAAAGATTCAGTTCCTCATGATGATCTATCCTATCACATGCAGGCTTTTTTAAGCACTCTAAATACTCTGTAACTCAAGTGACAGAACTGGGGAATCAACATGTGTGCATGGAACAGACAAACAGTGGATCAAGGTTACGTTCATATCAAGGCAAAAAGCTAAGACTGGCTCGGTACCACATGGATGCAGTTCTCTGATGGCATCACACATGAGATGGGTGTGTGTTCTGACCTGGCATAATGGTCTTCTTGCATTCATGGCACTTGGACGAGTACTCATTGGAGTAGCATTCTGTACAGAGTAGCTGATCCTCTTTGGCAGCAAAGGGCTTGTCCACCAGTGGGTTCTTGCACTGTGAGCAGTGGAAACAGGTCTCATGCCAGTGCCGGTCCTTGTAAGACAAGTCCTGCAGAACCCAAACCACAAAACAGTTAGTATACATGTACGCCAATGTTCACTGCAGCACTATTCACAACAGCCGAAAGGTGAAAACTGAAATGTCCATCAACAGATGAATGGATAGACAAATGCCCATGTGTACAATGGATTACTCAGCCATAAATAGAAATGAAGTCCTGATACATACTACAACATGGATGAACCTAGAAGACATTTGCTGAATGAATAAGTCCATCACGAAACGACAAATATTGTATGGTGTCACTTACATGAAAAGGTAAATGTATAGAAACCAAAGTTTATTAGTGGTTACTGGGGTGGGAGGGATGGGGAAAGGGAGAGCTATTATTTAGAAAATCAGTGTGTTTCTGTTTATGATGATGGGAAATTTGATAATGACTATGGGTGATGGTTGCACAACATGATTAGTGTAATTGTTATCACTAAATTATACCCCTGAGAATTACTTAATTGGCAAATGTTGTATCATATATATATTGTTGTTGTTGTTGTTAAGTGCCGCTGAGTCGTTTCCGACTCATAGCGACCCCATGCACAGCAGAACGAAACACTGCCCGATCCTGCGCCAGCCCCACAATCCCTGCTATACTTGAGCCCATCATTGCAGCCACCGTATCAATCCATCTCATTGAAGGCCTCCCCCTCTTTCATCAACCCTCCACCCTACCAAGCATGACATCCTTCTCCAGGGATTGGTCCCTTCTTACAACATGACCAAAATAGGTGAGACGAAGTCTGGCCATTCTTGCTTCCTAGGAGCATTCTGGCTGCACTTCCTCCAGGACAGATCTGTTAGTTCTTTTAGCAGTCCATGGTACTTTCAGCATTCTCCGCCAGCACCACAACTCAAAAGCATCAACTCTTCTTCGGTCTTCCTTATTCATTGTCCAGCTCTCACATGCATACCAGGTGATTGGAAATATCATGGCTTGTGTCAGGCACACCTTAGTCCTCAATGAGATATCCTTGCTCCTCAGCACTTGAAACAGTTCCTTCGCAGTTGACTTTCCCAATGCTACACGTCATCTAATGTCCTGACTGCTGCTTCCGTTGGCATCGATTGTAGAACCAAGCAACGTGAATTCCTTGACAACCTCAATCTTCTCTCCATTTATTGTGATGCTGCTCATTGGTCCAGTTGTGAGGATTTTTGTTTTCTTTATGTTGAGATGTAATCCATACTGCAGACTGTATTCTTCACACACACACACACACACACAATAAAAAAGCCTAAAAAATAATTATCAAAGTTGAAGACTCTTAAACTCCTCTTTAGTCTAATCCATGGTAGAGGGTTTATGGTACAAATTCAGAGGAGAAACAGTGCATAAAAGATGGATATGAAGTTCATGGAGGGTGGGTGCAGTGGTAAAGCACTCAGCTGCTAACTGAAAGGTCAGTGGTTCAAACCCACAAGATACTCCACAGGAGAAAGATGAGACAGTCTTCTGTAAAAATTTACAGCCTTAGAAACTTTATAGGGTGGTTCTACTCTGTCCCATAGGGTTGCTATGAGTTGTGATGAACTTAATGGCAATGGGTTTGGTTTTTGCTTTATGAGCCTCATGGGTGTTCCTAGATCATCACCTAACTACTGAAATAAATAAGGTTAAGCTGCTTCTCTCTTGCTGTATCTTAGAGGGACAGTGTAAGAAGATGAGTGTGTGTGTATGATGCTTTGAAAAACATACGTATTCCCCTTAGCTATTGCCTACAGAAAGAAAAAGAGAACATGAAAATTAATCACTCATTCTCATTCCATCAGGTGCTCTGGTGGTGTCGTGGTTAAGGCATTTGGCTGCTAACCAAAACCTACCAGCTACTCTGCAGAAGAAAGATAAAGCAGTCTGCTTTCGCAAAAATTTATAGCCTTAGAAACCCAATGGCAGTCACTGTAAGTTGGAATCAACTTGATGGCAGTCAGTCTGTTTTTTGGTTGCTACCTCATTTCATAGTCAAGAGAAAAACAGATGTAGGAGTTTATTGGCTAGTGACAGAATGAAGCAAAACCAACCATGACAGTAGTTTATGATCACTGGAATGACAAAGATACCCTGAGTTTGATGGAGATGCAGAGAAGGAGTCCTGAGGACAGGGTTAGGTCAGTATGGTGGAACAGAGGTCAAGAAAGACAGCTGAATGTCAAAGTAATGTGGATAGGAGTGAGTCAGTTAGAAGGGGTAGGAGAGGAAATTTCAAGCAGACAAATATCATGACCAGTGACAAAATGTGTGAACAACGGGTGCTTAGAGGAGCTGTGTGTCGGCTGAGGTAATGTGTGCACACAGTGAAATGCCAGGACATAAGGTGCATGCTCAGGTGGTACCAGGAAGGACCTTTTATGGCTGTCTGCATGAGGTCTGAAATTTATCTTGAAGACAGTGGTGAGCTGCTGAACACTTTCAGATAGAAAGTAAAATGTTAAGATTGTTGTATGAAATCAATAAGGAAGTGGGAGTAGGGGAGGCAAGAGTAAAGTAGGGAGAACATTTAGAAGGCCGCTGCAGAGAAGAGACCGTGACCAGAATGAGATGAGATTTGTGGGAGCTGTAAATAGGGAATAGAAATGAAAGACAGTTAGAAAACAGAATTCACACTTTTTTTAAAAAAACTTTTTTTGTGTGTGTGATTTGAGTGAAAGTTTATAGACAAATTCACTTTCCATACAGAAGTTCACATATACTTTGTCTCATGACATTGACCACAATTTACCCAGATGCAACAGCTCCCCTCCCACTTCCTCCCCATAGTTACCTCTTCCCTGTGTTCATCCTTCCATGCACTCCTGCCCCCTGAGCTGTCCCTCTGTGCATACACAGCCCTTCTTTCTCTCCATGATTGTTCTCTCCAAGGAGTGTATCTAGCTCAGGTACATGTTCAACTCATATGCCTGTCTTTTGTTTCGTTGGAAGCCCCAAGTGTGGGTTCAATTCCAGACCTGAAGGGCAGCTAGGGGCCATAGTCTCAGTGGTTCCACAAGGCTCTATCAAACCAGCAAACCTGGTCCCCTTTTTCCAAATGATTTTGAGTTTTGTTCCACATTGTTCTCCCTCTCTATCCAGGATCTCCTACATAGATCCCCCTCTGAGTGGTTGACAGTGGGTAGCTGGGCACCATCTAGTTCTTCTGGTCTCATAGTCATATAGGCTGCAGATAGCAATCGCTGGACTAATTGTTTCCATGAATCTTTGATTTCTTCATTCTTCTTTGCTCTGGATGAGGAGAGACCCATTGTCGCATCCAGATGGCTGCTTGCAAGCTTTTAAGATTCTAGTCACTACTCGCCAAAGTAGGAGGTGGAACAATGTTTTGTGTAGCATGTTATACCAATTGAGTTTGATGTCCCCTGCGACTACAGTCCTGAGCCCACAGGATCAACCACTTGGTCCCTCTGGGCAGCTGGCTGTGATGAAGAAGTGACTACAACATTGTCCCTTGTCAGCTCTACTATACACCTGACAATTCTTACAGATCATACAAATACACTTATAGGACCATTGTCTGCCAACACTATACATGGTCTTGGATACACTCCCTGCTTCATAGACACTAATAGTTCAGCCTGTGCACCTATCTATCCACCCGTATACCCATGTTTGCCTTCACTGACAAAGCAGTACTGTATGTGCAAAAGGGTTCATCTTTGTTGTCTCTACCTCCCATGAGAATTCACAATTTTTAGGGACTAAGAAAAATGAGTCCAGGAAAGAAAACTGTTTCTCACTCTATGCTACTGTCATGAATTGAACTGTGTCCCCCCCCCAAAATATATGTCAACTTGGCTGGGCCATGATTCCCAGTATTGCATGGTTGTCACACCTTTATTTAAGTCACACTCTTACTCTAGTCACACTCTTACTCTAGTCACACCCTTGCTTGAGTAACACCTTTTATCTTACTAGAGATAAAAGGAGAGAGAAGGAGCAGAAAGGGGAGGGACCTCACTACCACCAAGAAAGAAAAGCCACGAGCAGGGAGCATCAGTTGAGTCCAAGGTCCCTGCACTGAAAACCTCCTAGACCCAGAGGAAGACTTATGCCAAGACACATGGAGATCTCCAAGGGACACTAAGCCCACAGATCTTTAAAGGAGAGAAGGAGCTTCCCCTAAAGCCAACAAAAGCCTTCCATTAGAGCTGATAGAACTCTAAATTCAGAGTTCTAGCCTCCTAAATTTTAAGAGAATAAATTTGTTTGTTAAAGCCATCCACTTGTGGTATTTCTGTTAGAGCAACACTAGAGAACTAAGACAGCTACCCTTGATCTCTTGTCTGAGAAGTAATAAGTGATTTTTTTTCATGCTTGCTTTTTTCAAATGGCATAATGGCATTTGACAACCAATTTATATATCCAGCTTTATCTTGTTGTTGTTGTTATGTGCCGTCAAGTCAAACCCGACTCATAGCGACCCCTCCTTGGGTTTCCGAGGCAGTATCACTATGGAAGCAGGATTGCCCAACCTTCCTTCCGAGGAGTGGCTGGTGGGTTTGAACTGCCAGCCGTCTGGTTAGCAGGCAAGTGTCTTAGCCACTATGCTACCAGAGCTCCCAGCTTTATCTTAGGAAGGATATTTTTCTAGTGCTGTTTTTGCAGGAATAGAATTTTAGGCCATCGCATGGTTTCATGGCTGGTGCCCAGATCTAAGTATCCTGAGCATCTGTGTGAGAAGGTTGCTCATGTAAACTGCCAACAAGAGTTATCTTTCTCAAGATATCACTGTTACTAAAACCCAAGTAGAAACCGGAGCTATCCTGGGTGTAGGATGTGAGAACACATATCTTGGACCTGATGAGAAAGTACTAAAACACCATCTAAACCCTGAACGAAAACTAGAAGAAACAGTTCTCTTTTCTCGAAATTCTTTTGTGTTTTTTTTTTCCCCCCAGAACCATGAACCAAACTAAAGTCATTTGATTTGGTAATCTTTCTGCACATTTTATTTTAGTTCAACAAATTTTTAAAAATATAAATGATGAAATATTTAGAA